TAAACCAAGGCCCAACTGTCTACCCAGGTGGATATACAAGATCCATGGCACAATTTCAGAGGAGAGCTGGGGAGTTAGCCCTTGTGTACTTGCAAGAATTTGTCTACCTGTCAATGGGTCAAAACCCTGGAGCTCCCTTCCTAATAGCACAGTGGGTTGCCTACACCCTGTGGACTTCATCAGTTCAAGATGGTGGTTCATTACCACTTTGTCAAAGGCATTTAGGAATGGCAACAAATGCTGACCAAGCCAGAAATTCCCTCATTTCATGAAAGAATAAAACACAAATAACAGAAATTTTATTTTAAAGGCACTTACTATTTGCTAACAGCATAATGCAATATGAAACAGTTGTGAACTTCAAAGCTTTGTACTCCTTTTTCATTCTGGCAAAGTAGTAGAATTGCTACATGAGATAATGAGTCAGCTCTTATTTGTGACTGTGCATGTTGCATATTACAGAACAAAAATAACGTAGAGAAGTGGCAGTATTCAAGGAGGATAGGATGATTGGTCTATCTAACCCAAACGTCCCAATAAATTCCTTGCTATGCTTCTGAGATCCCTTAATCTTGGTTAACCTTAAGTTCATCAAGGTCCCTTGTGCCAAAAATGCGTTTGAGTGCAAAACCAAGGCTAACTGTCTAGTGCAATAGTGAGGATGTATTGCACTATTGAAGGAGCTATCTTTTGACCTAAGATGTTAAATCAAGGCCCATCTGTCTACTTGGGTTAGTAAAAAAAAACAAACTTTGTATGTACTTTTGACACTCTGTGCTCCTGAAATCCATTGACAACAAAGGAACAGAACAGTATTTTAATTTTTCCATTCCTATGGATATCTTACATATCTTATTGAGTACTCCTCATTCTCTTCCAGAGAGTAAAGTTTCAAGGACAATGGTATTTCGTTCTCAAAAGAAACTTTACATTTAAGAATTGGCCTGTATGCATTCCTTCCAATAACTTTCCAGTAATGTGATGACCAAGACAACACAGCAGTCCAATTACGTCAAGTCCAGTTGCACACTGTCCCCTTTGCCTTATATGTCACATCTCTGACAAAAAATAAATATTTTTCTTATTTTGAAGTATTGCTTACTTCATTTGGTGAAACAAGGCTCAGAAAAAGAGATGTTAAGTAGACTGGTTTTTCTACCTTCAAAATACTAATGTAGCTTGCTAAACTGATACAACAAGAGTCAGGACTTTAGCGAGGGACAAACAGGCTGGTGGGAAAGGGGAAGATGATGCTGGTAGCAGTAGATTATAGGACCCTACCAACATCTATATGGTGGGACAGAAAATAAATCGAGAGTTAATAACAGCATGTAACAAAGGTAGCACACTATTCATTGTTGACTTTAAACTCCATGTAGATTAGAATAGTCAAATTGGTAGAAGTGGCCATGAGGAAGAATTCTAAAGTATATTCAGGACAGTTTCCCAGAACAATGCATTGTGAACCCAATTATGGATCAAGCTATTTGGATCTGGTGATATGTAATGAAACAGGTTTAACAAAAATTAGTTCAATAACAATCAATTTAATAAATAATTAATAAATGTGTAGCACCATTTGCAGCTCTGCAGATACTGAAGCAGTCCATGACCAAATGCAACAAGACCTGAATGATACACAGACTTGGACTGAAAAGTGGCAAGTAACATTCATGCAAAAGCCAGGAAATGACCTTCTCCAGTAAGAGACAATCTAACCTCCACTCCTTGACATTCAATGGCTTTACCATCACTGAATCCTCTGCTGTCAACATCCTAAGGGTTATCATTGACTGAGACTTAAGTGGACTTGCCATTTCAGTACAGTGGTTACAAAAGTAGGTCAGAGGCTAGGAATACTGCAGCGAGTAATTCACCTCTTGACTCCTCAAAGCCTGTACTCCATTTCAAGGGCATAAATCAGTAGTATAATGGAGTACTTGGAAGGATGAGTGCAGCTTCAATAAGATTCTTGAGGTTTGACACCAGCCCGGACAAAGCAGCTGCTTGATTGGCACCACATCCGTAAAAACAATTCAGTCCCTCCACCATTGTTGCTCAGGAGCAGTAGTGAGTACCATCTACAGTGCAGAAATTCACCAAAGATCCTTAGCATGTTACAAATTCACAACTGCTTCCATCTAGAAGGACAAAGGCAACAGATACAAGGGAACACCACTAGCAAGATTCCCACTAAGCCACCCACTATCCTGATTTAGAAATATATCATAATTCCTTCAGTGATGCCAGGTCAAAATCCTGGAATTCCCTCCCATTGGGCATTGTGGTCTACCTACAGCGCGTGGACTACAGAGTTTCAGTAAGGTAGTTCACTACCTCATGAAGGGCAACATGGATAGGCATTAAATGCTGGCCCAGCCAGTTACATGCACTTCCCACGAGTACATTTCAAAAAATAACAAGATCAGAGTAAAAGATCCCCTAAGAAACAGTTACCACAATGTAGTAGAATTGAGAGGGAGGAACTTGGATCAGAAACAACTGAGATATGCTTCAGTAAGTGCAACTACCAAGGATTGAGGGCAGAGCTGCCTGGAGTGGACTGGGAAAGGAGGTTAGCAGCAAAGACAGTTGAGGAACAATGGCAGATGTTTAAGAAAATAGTTTATGCCTCACAGCAAAGATGTGTCCCAGTGAGGATGAAGGATTCGAGGAAGAAGGATTCTAGGAAGGGGATAAGGCAACCATGGTTAACCAGGGAAGTTAAGATAACATCAAATTGAAAGAAAAAATATCTTTAATCTTGGCCGTATTGTGTGTCCAGAAGATTGGGCATGTTTTAAAAACCAACAAAAAGATGACAAAGATGGAATAGACTTTGAGTGTAAACTTTTAAGTGATATCAAAATGGACAGCAAGCGTTTCTTTAGATATATTAAAAACAGAGAAACCAAACTGAACATAGGCCCCCTAGAAAATGAGGCTGGGGAATCAGAAAATAGCAGAGAAGTTGACCAAATAATTTGCATCAGTCTTCACAGTAAAACATTCTAATAACGTTCCAAAATTACTAAATTATCAAGGAGCAAAAGGAGGAAAGGAAATAAATACAATAACTATCACCAGAGAAGAAGTGCTTGGGAAACTAATGGGGTTCAGGACTGATAAATCCCCTGGATTAATAGGATGCATCCTAGGATATTAAAGGAAGTGGATACAGAGGTAGTTGTTGCACTGGTAGTAATCTTCCAAGACTCCATATGTGTTTAACATTCAAAGATTCCTGTATTCTTTCTATTTCTTCGAGTTTTGGGTTTTAAAAAATGATGAAATCAACAGTGAAAAGGTCTGTACATTTTAAGGTTAAAAAGTGAGACCAAATTTTTGTAATCAGAATTTGGGTTTAATCAGCAAAATATTTCTGAAATGAGTAAATGAAATTGTTTTCACTACTAAGTGTGTATGACTGACTTCACAATGTTTAGTGGTAAAAATAACACTTTGGGCATCATCAGCTGTATTCTCAGTATCTCCTGATCCAAGAAGCTTCTTTTGTCCATCAGTACGTGACGCAGGGGACAATATGGGTGACTTTCCGACATTATGCTGCAGGCAACAATAATGTAATTTGATTTTAAAATTGGATTTTTTTCGAAGACCCCAGTAGGCAGCTTGAATTCTGGAAAATTACCCTATATGTTAATTGTGCTCGTTGGTGCACAAAGGTGAAGGTTGACTTGCATCAAACAGGAACATGGGTGCACCATAACTGCAGTTGGCCAATGTTTTCATTTCCAGTGGTTCTCTTGGATTATCCAGGTTGAAGTCTTTTGAGTTTAATTCTTAAACTCAAATATCACACTGGAACACAGTTTTTCTGACAACATTTTCAAGCTGCAGCAGATTTGTCATGCTTTTATTTAAATTTTTGTTTATGCATATATTAGTGTAACTTTGTCTTAGAGGGCTTTTAGTTCCTCTCAGTATAGCTTGAACTAAACTTAGAGTATGTTACACCTGTATCTAATTCATTTTTGTAAAACATAAATCCTGTGAGTGAGTATACAGTGTCATTTTAATGTGAATATTCAGCAAGGAAAACATTTCTGTTATTTGAAATGATAAGTTTAGACTGGGCTTTGTAAATATTATTAACAGATATTTACAGCCTCTATTTTTGTGTTATCACTGGCCTCAGCATGAAAGGACTTTATCTGGCGCTAAATTTAGCTAAGTATCAGTTTGTATTAATTACTGAAGTTCTATTAATTGTACAACACCAGTTAAAACCATCTATATTTTGTTAGAATTATTTTATTTAGTCCATATTGGTGCAATTTATGTCTTCCTCTTATTCATCATTAGTATTGAGCAAATGGACATTAGTGTGAGTTTGGAAAATATCAAGTCTCTGATTTTCCTGAGTGCTGAAACTCTGCTTTAAATTTAATTGAAATAAGTTGAAAATATCAATGTTTTATTGAAGTGACAATTTGCATACCCAAGTACTGCTTCATAACTGCACAAATAATTCCAAACTGCAATTTGGAAATGATAATGATATTGGGATTTAAAATGCGAGAACATTGATGCATGTTCAGTCTCTGTTTTAGGCAGGCTGTAAATGATTTTATACAGTTTTACAGAATCAAGTCTGTATCTTCAAACAACCTAATATTTAATAAACAACATTTGATTTTTGTGAATGAGTGGTAGGAAATACTCCAGAGAGGAGTAAGCGTAATGCACTGTGACACTTTAATTGTGAGTCTGTTGTAGTCATCTGCCTCAAATATTGCCGGTAGTATTTTGGGAGAGGGAGAGGAAATGGAAGGAAGAGGGAGGAGATGGATTGAAAATAGTGGTTTAATTTTAGCTGAGCTGGCTTAAACTTTAAAATACTTTTGATTAGGGTGCAAAGTGTAATCAGGATATTTGTGCTATTCATGTCACAAGGATTTTAATTTATATATTTTCTAGTAAGTTAGAATTGTTTTGTTTGGTAAATGTGAAGTTTTGAACCTTTCTTTACATTTCAGATTCCAGAGTGGTTGAGAAGAATTCGAGCTGGAGGAAATGGTGCCTCATGCTGTTCTTGGATCATTTTGGGATGAACTGCCAGAAAATAAATGTGACATCCAAGTTATCAAATTAGAATCAAAGCCTAAAAGACGCTAAGCAAGTCTTTTAAAAATGAAATCAAACCAGGAACGCAGCAATGAATGTTTACCACCCAAAAAGCGGGAGTTTCCTGTTAACAACCTGCCCTTGCCAGAGAAGGCAGGTGCAACAGCTACTGTGAGTGAGAGCAGTCGCAGTGAAAACTTGGCATGGCTCGCCAATGTAGCTAGCAGCCAAAGCAGTGTGGGAATGAGGTATGGACAAGGCAAAGTTGCAGCAGAAACCCCAGTGGAAACTGGCTTACCGCTGTATAAACCACTAGCAACTGCAGTGGACTATTCATCACCTGGAAATGTTAGATCAGCTCCAGGGGTAACACATCTTCGTGCTGTTTATTCATCTTCAGCACTGGCTCAGCCAGGACCTTCTGCATCACCAGTAGAATATGCCCCACTACAGCCTGCTGCTTTCCAGTTTGTTGGGCCACCTTATAGTGGACCATATGCTGGCCCTGCTGCATTTGTCCCTTCCCCATTAATCTCCCCAACAGCTTCAAATGCTTCCGCCACTCCATCTCAGTATTCCCATCTAGAACCCTACTCTACAATCTTTGGCAGTATGGGGAGCCCATCCCAGCATAAGGTTGAACAGCAGGTAGTTAGGCCTCACAGAATGATAACTCCACCTCAACCTACCGTTCAAAACCAGTATGTGCAAATTTCAAGTTCATCTCCAAACGTGACTAGACCCCTGTCCCCTACAACAGTTCCCCTACATTTGCACTCTCACTCTTCTCTGATTCCACATACACTCTCAGTCAGTACCCCATCACAGGTTGTTCTCCAATACGCAGATACTGGATACCATGTTGCATCAAGGGAATCCGTCAGAAAAGTTGAAGACATCAGGCCACATTTAATCCCGAGAAGGGAAGTATCAAATGGTGAAGTTGAGAAAAGCAGGAAATATGACCTCTCACCCAGCGCAGAAATGAACATGGAGAAAGCAGCAAACAAACCGGTTTCTCGCCATTATGAAATAAGGCATGGGACCCATAGGGTTGTTCACCCAAGTCCTGCTGACTATAATGCACAAGAATCTTTAGGTCCTAGAGCCTCAGTAATGATTATACCCAACAGCCACACGTCTACGACGGATCTGGAGGTTCAACAGGCCATTGACAGGGACAGTTCTCCTATGGCACTCTATGATAAGACTAACTTAAATCATGGGAAAGCTGCCTTTTCTCCACATTCTGTAATTCAAACTACCCATAATCCCACTGAGCACCTCTCCATTGGACTACCTGCTAGTGCCGTGTATCCTAGCTCTCAACAGCCACTTATTGGTTACATAAGCAGTCAGCAGCAAGCACTTAGTTACCATGGGAACTTGCAACAACATTTTGTAATCCCAGGCACTCAACCCCTCCTTATTCCTGTATGCAGTACAGCAGTTGAAGCATCAGGGATAACATCTACAATAGCAACAACTACTTCTCAGTTTGCTGCATTGCCTCATTCATTTGTCAGTACAGCCAGTCCCAAAAGTGAGAATTATCATCCTGACTCACTTGTTACTCAGCCAACTTATCACCCGACAGTTGTACAGGCCCAAGTACACCTACCATTAGTGCAGTCAGTGAACTCTCCTGTGGCAGCTTCTAATCAACTGCCTCCATACTTCATGAAAGGTTCAATCATACAGCTAGCTAATGGAGAACTTAAAAGAGTTGAAGACTTGAAAACAGAGGACTTCATACAAAGCGCTGAAATCAGCAGCAACCTGAAGATTGACTCCAGTACTGTGGAGCGTGTTGAAGGCAGTCACAACTCCAGCTTCGCTCTCCTGCAGTTTGCAGTTGGAGAACACAGAACACAGGTAGGAATGACCAGATCAACTGAAGCATTGTATGTTTCTTTGCAGAGAGTAAAGGTGAACAGCAGTTCACCTTTGTGAGTGTTCATCCACCATTTCTCGGTGGTGAATCAGCAAAACTAAATACCATCTAGATTTGAGAAAACAAAGCTTTGAAATTTCTCCATTAATTCTATTGGACGTCAAGTCCAGAGATGCATGTACATATTAACAAGGATGTCACTGCGCAAGTTGTGCAATGGTTGCCTGGTCACACTGATATGATCACTCAGAAATTGGTTTTTCAGAAGGGAAGATTGTGTGATTTAAACTTTAAGGGCCATTGATCATTAGGTATTACTATCCTGCGAATACGATGTCTTTCCTTTTTAGTTAGGTACAAAGTGGAAGCAAACGTTCACTGATGCAGTTACCATACTAGTGGTTCCAAGAAAACTGAGATTATTGATCCAAAGGCTGCCACAGATTACATACCACAGCACTGATGTCTTAAGGCAAGATCAAAAATATTCCCCATTGACATAATCGACACCTGTTTTGTGGTCCTGTATTTGGGACTGCAGCAAAGCAATAATGTAGGTTCTATTATTATGTAGTTTAAAGAAAACATGGGGTTAAATAGTGAGCTCCGTGACAGCGGTACCTGTGTACTGTGTAAAATAATTACAGGCTCTCATTTGGCCTAACTAGCTAATTGCTTGTCTTTTCTGTAACAAGGGCTTGAGATGTTCAAAATAAATTATTTTTGGACTGATTTTGCACTCAATTTACCTAGATATTTTGAACTAGTACTCCCTACCCCTTCCCTATTTTTGAAACAAATCATAAAACTCCAGATTGGCAACTAAAGTTGAGTTGTACGATTCCTGAGCATGGTAAATACAATGACTGATACTGTAAAAATTAGTTGGCACAGAAGTCACTCCATCTGTGGGAGTTGATAGTTGGGCTTTCATTTGTAGCACACAAGTTCAGATCCCAACTTTGACTCATTGGGCTTCACTAGCTATTTACTGAACCTTTAGATGGAACAATCATGGGAACTAAAGAGCATACTAGTAAATACAATCGAAAATAAATAAGGTTGGTCGGCATCATAATTGAAAGTTCTGGTGAAGAGTTATTTTTAGACTCAATATTAACTCTGTTCCTGTCTCCACAGATGTGCCAGACGTGTGTTTTTCCAGCACTTTGTTTTTATTTCAGATCTCCTGCATTTGCTGTACTTATTTAAAATTATACAGTATAATGTTTGACAGATTTTGAAACTGTCTAACACAGAAGTTCTGGTGCTGAGTAAGCAGAAATGAAATTTTGACAACTTATTTTAGATATGAATGTAGTCTTGGCATAAAATGCAACTTTAACAAGGTTTTCAATAGCATGTACCCTCATAACACCATTTGCCCTTCAATAAAAGGGAAAAAGCCAGTATGTCATTTTGCTTACTTCAACAGTGAGCTCTTTGATGACTAAAACCTGATTTTACTCGGAATTAACCTCTGCAGATAGAATACTGGATTCCACATACTCCAGGATTTTTTTTAATGCTAGATTTGCTGTATTTCTCAGATTGTTCTCAATTTTTTTTTGTCTTTTCTGCTTGCACTTGTGGCTCCAAACAGCTGCTTGTGGCAGGCTACAACTACTGTCCAGGAATGAGGATTGTAGACTATGTGAAGACCTGTGAACCTAAAGGTCAGCAGAAAGCACAGGATTACCATGCCAATTAAGCACAGTATATTTTACGTTGCAATATTATTACAACCAGTTTAATTTATTTAAGATTACAGACAGTTACAAACTTAGAAGGATTGCGAAATGTCTGTGATTAGATAAATCATAAGCCAGTTG